CAGGTCTCTTGTGTGTTTCTTTCAATCTCCAGGCCTTTGCCCAGACTCGCAATCGGTACAGAGGCGCACGAACTGTACGGAGGGAGGGAGGGAGGGAGGGAAGGAAGGAAGAAAGGGAGGGAAGGAGGAAGGAAAAAAAGAAAAGACCTCCCTTCAACTTTTATTTAGTGTACAATCTAAATAGGTAAGACAAGCTAAATACTTTCATGTAGTAAGCAGCGTGCACATTGATTTCCTCTTTTTATACAGTTTCTTTCATGTCTTTCAGAGCCGACCACTGGATCTCAGTTTTCCTATGACATTGTTAGTTTTAGCTGATGTCTCAGTTTCCCTCGCTTTGTCACATGCATGAGTCCTTAAGCAGCGCCGTGTTTGCTTGCTCAATAGATATAGGCTCAATCTATGTTATGCTTCCCCTGACATAGCCTCAGCTTTTTTCAGTACTTTGGGTCCATAACTGTCTTAGGTAGGGTTTCTGTTGCTGTAAAGAGACACCTAGACTATGGCAACTCTTACAAAGGAACCATTTCATTGTGGTGGTTCACTTACAGTTCAGAGGCCTAGTCCATTACCATCATGATGGGAAGCAAGGCAGCAGGCAGGCAGACAGACATGGTGCTAGAGAAGGAGCTGAGCATTCATATATCTTGATTCACAGGCAGAAGGAAGTGGTCTGAGACATTGGGTATGGCTTGAGCATATATGAGATCTCAAAGCCTGCTTCTACAATGGCACACTTACTGCAACAAGACCATACCTACTTCAACAAGACCATACTTCCTAATAGTGCCACTCCCTGTGGGGGCCATTTTCTTTCAAACTACCACAATAATCAGTGTTGTTTCCCCTTTCCCTCTACTGCACTAAAGCTCTACCTTAACTTACTGCCCAACTAATTGCTGCAGAGCAGAATTCTAAGCCCAAGAATTGTGTTAGGAATGTCCATTGCTCCTGGAGAGAGCCGGCAGTGCGGATGGGCCTCTTTAGGACATCGAGTTAGAATACAGCTTTCTTTCTTGTTTCTGCTTTTGTCTTGTGTTTTTTTTTTAACTGCGTTTCAAATGTATGTCTATGTGTGGCTGGGTGCAAATGAGTTTCTGTTTAGGTCACTGTTATGATCAAATCTGCAAAGTCTCTGCAAAAGTCAACAAGGAGACCAAGTCCTGCATGTAAAAGCAAAGAGCCTTTATTTTATGTAAGTTTGCAAACTTGGTCTCTCCGCATGTTCAATGTATTGGAATAAATGGAGAGCCCCAAGCTCAGTTAGAATTGGATTTTTATAGTAGTAAAGGTGGGGGTAAGGGGTTTCAGAGGTTTAGGATCCCTGAGTGGCTGATATTTGTCTAGGGGGTGTCCTGGAGAGTGTGTCCTGGCAGGTGGTCCTATCTACAGAAGTTGGAATGTTAGGCATTTCCTTTGGATGGTCTGTTCTTGGGTGGTGGTCCCGTAATCTCAGTTTGTGGTCCTTCCTGCAGCCAGGTATTGCTTCAGGGTAAACTACTGAGACTCAGGCCTCTTATTAAATTTATCGATAGCCAGAGTTCTACTCTGGGAGGAGATAATGGTTGGAAGTAAAGAACTTCCTTTGGGTGATCTGCCCATACTTAGCTTATCATGGCTGGCTCCCACAGTCACAGGGTGTCTGTGTCCCCTAGAGCTGGAGTTGCAGGCAGTTGTGGCTCATCCAACCTAGGTGCTCAAAATGAACTTGAATCCTCTGAAAAAACCAGAAGTTGTTCTTAGCCACTGAGCCATCTCTCCAGCCACCGTTTGTGCCTCGTCTATTCTGCTGAAATTCTTGTTGCTCTGTGACATTAGCATGGGCTTACTTGCCTTGCTGTGTGATAGTCTACCACACTCCCGCTAAAGCAATGGCTTTGTGACCCCTATTGTTATGATCAGTATTGCTAATAAATACTTACAATTTCTTAGTTTTATTTATGCCCCTGAGATATGTTCAACTAGATGCTTACTTTCATATGAATGTATTTTTCAGTCTTAAAATATCATCTTTGCTCATGCCAACAAGCACAATTAGTTTTATTTCTTTTTCTTCTCCTAGAAATGCCATCTTGGAGTTTTAACTAAGCAGCTATTTAGATGACTGTGTCTTTTTCTTTTTTATGGTTTATCTAACAATATTTTATGTGTATTGGTGTAAAGGTGTCAGATCCCCTGCAACTGGATCTTCAGACAGTTGTGAGCTGCCATGTGAGTGCTGGGAATTGAACCCGCGTCCTCTGGAAGAACAGTCAATGCTCTTAACCACTGAGCCATTTCTCCAGTTCTTTTTCTTTTTTCTCTTGGTTTTTTGATACAGGGTTTTGTAGAGGGCCGCAGCCACATTCTCCATCACAAGATGGCGCTGACATCCGGCTTCACCACCAGGTGAACGCACATGTGCTTGGTAACTTTCCACTGAGTCCCCGCCTACTCCCGAGGCATTCACCTGGGATCATGGACAGTTGACCTATCCAAAAGTGACACGTCCGAAGCAAGGACTGCTTCCTTTATATAGGGCTGGGTTCACCTTGTCCGGAGTCTCCGCCATGTGGCTTATGCTCTAGCTCCCAAGAAGCATTAAAGCTATTTCTGCAGAAGAATCCTGTGTCCCGCGTGGTTCTTACAGGCGAGACCGAACGCAGGACAACTGCCCAATTGGGCTGTGAATGGAAAACTCCAGCCTTATGTGTGACCAGTGTACCATATGAGAACTTTACAAAAGTGGCTAACTTGTCCCGAGAATTGTCTTTGTATCTTGCAGGAAATTGGACCGAAAATTTTGATGATTTGCTGTCCTCCTTGAGACAGTCCATCGTGACAATCAACTCCACGCGAGTGGACATAAGCTTGGCCGTAGGATTCCAGTTCTGGGTCGTGTCCTTCATCCCCTACTTCAAAGAATGGGTGGGGGTGGAAGTGTTTTGGAGCAGCCCTATGCTGTGGAATAGTGTTTCTCCTCTGGATGGTCTGCTGACTCAAACCACAAAGTCATAGGGACAAAGTGGTTATTGCGCCAGCGCTGGCTGCCCTGGAACAGGGAGCCTCTACTTATGTATGGTTATCTATGTTGAAGCAGTAAGATTTATGCCAACCAGCTCCTGCACCCCTAGGACAGTGGTCCATGGCACAGGGTGGAGTGTTTGGCTTAGCTAGCCCTGAAGGTTGTCGAGCTAAAGAGCATCGCACAGAGAATGGCCCTCTCTGAGAGATATGTTGCCCTGCATAAGGGTTTCCTGCCACATATTCCCTTTCCCAGAAAAATGGCAGAGGGCAGGCCGGATAAGTTCCAGGTGTCATGAACATAGGGGCAGATTCCGTGTAAGTCCATTTTAATGTTTCCACTTTGGGAAGTGCGACCTCTATCTTTACCTTCTGAGGGAGTTGCCTTTCTGCAAAGAAGTAAACATAGGGGGAGATGTGAAGGGCCGCATCCACATGCCCCATTACAAGATGGCGCTGACATCCGGTTTCACCACCAGGTGAACGCACATGTGCTAGGTAACTTTCCACTGAGTCCCCGCCTACTCCCAAGGCATCATCTGGGATAATGGACAGTTGACCAATCCAAGAGCAACACGTCCGAAGCAAGGACTGTTTCCTATATAAGGGCTGGGTTCCCCTCGTCCAGGGTCTCCGCCATGTTGGCTGATGCTCTCTCTCCCAAGGGGCATTAAAGCTATTTCTGCAGAAGAATCCTAGTGTCCCGCGTGGTTCTTGCTGGCGAGAGGAAGCGTGGGGCAGGGTTTCTCTGTGTAGCCCTAGCTGTCCTGGAACTCACTCTGTAGATCAGGCTGGCCTCGAACTCACAGAGATCTGCTTGCCTCTGCCTCCCGAGTGCTGGGATTAAAGGTGTGCGCCACCACCGCCCAGTTTATCCTGCTCTTCTATGCAGCATCCTACCTCTACTTAAAAAAATAATTTAATTGTATTCTTTAGAATATGTATGAAAATATACTCTTGTCTTGAATTTACATAGATCAACAGTGACTCACTGTGCACAAGGGGTCTACATCTAGCGATTTGCATCCAGGAAGGCTAATACAGAGCAGAGACAGGGCTGGTCCTTATCTTCTTTCTGTCTGGTTGTCAGGCAACCGCCTGGGTGCCCCACCCCCTCCTAAGGAACACTTCAGTTGTTTATAGGTTCGCCCACTTTTCTTCAGGATTTGTTTACAGGTTTCATTGTGTGTCTGTGCGTCAGCGTGGGCACGTGGTTGTGAGGGCAGGTACCCTTGGAGGTCCAAAGAGGTGTCAGATCCCCTGGAGCTGAAGTTATAGGGGGTTGTGAGCTGCCCAACGTGGGTGCTGGGAACCAAACTCACATTCTGTGCAAGGATAGTATACACTCTGAAACCTCTGCGCCATCTCTCCAGACCCTAGACTCAATCCATCCCAAAGTCCCAAAGCTGGTAACCCAAAGCATAATATACATGTTTGCCTGTTTTGCAATGCTTGAAGAGTGTCAAAGAGAAACTGTGTGATTTCCTCAGCAGTTGCGTCACTGCCCACACCGTGGGTCGTGGGTTGTTTTGTGTGTGTGTGTGTGTGTGTGTGTGTGTGTGTGTGTGTGTGTGTGTCGATGCCAACACTTCACCACAGAAATTGTTGATCTACAATCTCACTTGTAAATTCAACTTCAAAGTTTTCCAAATCCAAGAGTTGAGAAGTGGCTTCTAATTTACATTCCTTCCACTGGATGAGAGACTGCATGTCTTCGCACATACTTAAGGAACTTCTGTGTAGCGCAATTAATAAAAACCCAGAGACAAATATTGGGGTTCAACCTGAAGATCAGAAAAGCAAAACAGCCAGCCACTGGCTGTTAATCTCTACCTTAGTCTGAAATGGCCATCCTGCCTCTGGGAATCCTCAGAATGAGACTGAGCCTGAAACCTGTCTCCTCCCATCTTGTAGTCCTCTCTAGTGCTGGGTTTAAAGGCGTACACCACTACCGCCTGGTTTCTATGGCAAACTAGTGTGGCTACTGGGATTAAAGGTGTGTGTCACCACTACCTGGTCTGTAAGGCTGACCAGGGTGGCTGTTTTACTCTCTGATCTTCAGGCAAACTTTAATTATTAAAGTACAAATGAAATATCCCTACGCTTCTGCGTTTTGGGGGGACTTCCCCTTGGACCACTAGTATCTTTCCTCGTATTCCCTACCCTCATGCACAAAAAGTTCTCTGTTAGCATGTGAGGAATATCTGAACCTGCTGTGTGCAAACCTCGGACTACATCCCTGTCTCATGTACTTGCACCTCTGAGGAAGTACTTCAAAAAATACTTCCACTCAGGCACGGGTTCTCTTTTGTCTTCTGTTCCTCTATTATCTGAACTGAACCGATCACAACCATAAGAGGAACAGAGACGTCTTTCAGCTTGTGAGTGCTGAGCACACACAAGTAGAGCACACAGAGCCAAGGCAAGCCATGGGCACATGAATGAAAAAAAAATCATTTCTTCCAGGTGTGGTAGTACACACCTTTCATCCTAGCACTCAAGAGGCAGAGACAGAGGCAGGGTGATTTCTGTGTGAGTTCGAGGCCAGAATGGTCTACAGAGAGTTCCAGGATAGTCATGGCTACATAGTGAGACCCTTTAAATATCACTGGTAAGACTCATGCTGGCTGTGACATGACTGCCACACGGCACAACATTCCAGAGTCCTCGGCTTTCCCAGCAAGGGTCACAAAGTCTAGAAGTTCTCACAGCCTGGCCAGGGTGCTTCAGGAACACCTTAAGCCATCTTTCCAGTTTCCCCATCTTTGCAGCCTCGCTCAGAGCCCTCACACTCCTCTAAGAAAACTTTCTTCTTCAGTAGAATTTTAGCATCATCAGTCACTACATCAAGAAAATAATTCTGCAGGTAGTAGCTCTTTCTGAAGTAAAGGCCGGTGGCTATGAGTCCGCCGGTGACGGCAAACACTTTCTCCAGGTATTTCACCAACTTGTCCCCCACAGACTCATCCGTCTCACATGACAGCAAATGAGGTGACCTAATGGTTGACTCAAGCTCCTCCACAGGCAGGGACAAATCCCTGGCCATGTTTTCCAGTGATTTGTCATCCAGCCCAAAGCTAGACCTGTAGTGGGTCAGGGTCTTCTCCAGTTCCTCAATGTCATCCTTGAAGAAAACCATCATAGGGATGGTGGCCGATGCTCCACATTTCAGAGCCTCCAGCCAGATCTTCTGTTTCAGAACATCTTTCCTGCGGTCAATAGCGGCCTCGGTTACGTTAGGAAGGCACTGCATGAAGATGTGGCGCTTGTGCACCGGCAGGTCCTTCAAAAGGGTGAACTGCAGGTGAGGAAAATCAAAATGGGCTACCTCAATGCTAGAGACTAAAAAGACAGGCATGAGAGCCATGCCAGCCTTCTGGAGATTCTCCACACAGTTTTTTCGGATAGTCTCTAGGGTTTTTTCCTTATTGTAGGTCTTGGGTGTACATCTTCTCTGATTCCACAAATCACTATCAATTTTTGTCCGAACGAAATAGAAATTCTTTTTCATTTTTCCAATGGCCTTGGCTAACTGGGCATCGTTCTCTTTAAAGCGAGTGGCTGAGATGATGAGAAAAAAGTCATACTCCTGGAACTTCATTTTTTTCAGATATTCTTCTGGTTTAAAGGTAGTTGAACCGACCCCAGGGAGATCCCAGATGGTCACGTTAGGGAACTTCGAGTGGGTATACTTCTCTCTAACCATTGTGGTCTCTACCACTCCGCTCCTAGCTGAGTCAATTTCTTCTTGTCCTATGCCCCGCAGGGCATTGATGAAAGTAGACTTTCCTGCCCCTGTCTCCCCTGTCACTGCAATGCTCAGAGGGGCCTTCTCGATCTCTGCCAAAGCAGCATTGATTGTAGAAATTGCTTTCTGCATGTCCCCTTGCTCCATAAACCTCTGGATTGAACTGATGGTCTCCTCAGAAATGATTTTGCTTTCCATCTTGAAAGTTTTGAAAAATGCATCAAAGCTGGAGACCATATTGTGGGCATCTGCAACAGGTGTAGAAGAAGTCTGACCCATGGCAGCGAAAGATACTGGAGGGAAGGCAGAAGTGGGAAAGAAGGTCAGAGGTTAGTGTAGCAGGGAAGGGCACAACCCTGCCTTAGGGCAGAAGCTGCTCTGTGAACTCACACAAGGACTGGGAGACTAGCCCTGCTCTGTTCACTGATGTTTCCAGGACTTGCCTGCTTTGCTTTCCCAAGAAATTGTCCATTAATTTCAACATCTGCTTTCTCAATCCAAACTTTAAAACCTATGTTATTCTCCATCTTGTCTTATTTTGATTATTTTGAAAAAAAAAGTTTGGACACAACTCTATCTAATAAGCAGAAGGAGAAATGGTACCATGTGGCAGCCCATTCATGGGGTGACAGTGCCTGACTTTGAGGGGTCCCTCAGAATGAGAGTGTCACAGAGGCACAGTATTTGCCTGGCTCGCACCTGGCCCTGGGTTCAATCCTCTCTACCACATACACACGAAAATCAAGGCTTCCCATAAAGTTAGAAGATGATATGAGGCTGCTAAAAGAGCAAACAGACAGGACAATGTGAGACAGCCCAGCTGGGAAGATGACAGCAGCTGAGGGCACCCGCGGTTCTCACATGGCACCAAGTCCAAGTCCCAGGACCCAGATCAGGTGGCTCAGAACCCCCGTCACTACAGCTCTAGGGGATCTGACACCCTCTTCTGGACTCTGAGGGCACCTGCATTCGCATGCACATACCCACATGAAGACAAACACATATGCATAAACTAAAATAAATCCTAGCAGTAAACCCCACTACTTCTCTATAAAAGACAAATATCACCAGGAGACTTTCTGACAAGATAATCAGAAAGTGGGAGAAAACCCTTGCAAAGTCACATTCAATAAAAGACTATGACCCTGCCAGGCGGTGGGGGCACCCACCTTTAATCTCAGCACTGGAGAGGTAGAAGTAGGCTGACCTCTAAGTTCAAGACCGGCCTGGTCTACATAGTGAGTTCCAAGACATCCAGGACTACATAGAGACACCCTGTCTCAAAACACCTCAAGTAAAATACAAAAAAAAAAAAAAAAAGGAAAGTGGAAAACTCTCCTCTGAAGACAGTATGGCAGTTCCTCTAGCACTAAACACAGCTGACATATGTGCTCCTATACATTTTCACGTTTGTTCCCAAAAAAACATACGTGTGGATGTTTCTGGGTGGTTTATTCGCAATTTCAAACCTGGGAAATAGCCAGGACACCCTTTGGTAGGTGAATGAGCTAGGAAGATGTGAAATCCCCAAGATGACCACGTACCATTCAGAAGAGGGGAACTGTTAGCCATGAAAAGACTAGGGGGAGAAAAGTCACCTACAAAGGCTACGTGACTCTGCAGCACATCACACATGCTGAGTGACCTTCCAGATATGGCAAAGTTATGGGAAATCAAAGCCGTGGTTGGCCCTCGTGGAAGCCTGAGCAAAAAGGCAACACAAAGGATTGTGGGCAGTAAAAATCCTCAGTGGGACATCATAATTGGGTGTGTGCTGAGATGCATCTGGATGAATACAACCTGGAGGGAACTGTCACATAGTCTCTGGGCATTCTCTGACTACAACCTGACAGTGACAGTTCATTATTCTGGTGGGGATGCTGGTGATGGACGAGACCATGCAGATGTGAGGACTGTAGTCTATGGGGGAAACCATGCATGTGTGGGGACTGCAGTCTATAAGGAGACCATGCGTGTGTGGGGACTGCAGTCTATGGGAAAGATCATGCATGTGTGGGGAGGACTACAGTCTATGGGGAGACCATGCATGTGTAGGGACTGCAGTCTATGGGGAGAC